TGCACTTTTTTGCCCGTTGATTTGCTGCTTGTGATGCTTTTTATTTCGCAAAAGTTGCAAGATCCGGAATTCGCTTTTGCTCTGGAGTCGAGGGATGATTTAGGGACTATTCAGGTAGTGATATGTTTCTTCTGTTTTTTTCCCTTCCTGTGACTAATATTTTTGGTGCCCTGGTTTTCTCTTAATAACAATGGGCTTCTATGAATTGATATAGCCGCCACATAATTTTCTTCAGTGACCTGGGTATCATGAATAACTTTGTACGCTCATAACTTTTGCAAGTTAGCACATCTGCTGGTCGAAAGAGGGTATACTAACAGTAAACAATTGGAAAATGTGCCCGTCAAGAAACTGCTTTTCAGTAATCACAGCCAGATACAATGACCCTGGAAACTTTACTTTTGCATGCCTTTGTCTGAGTGAATGTTACTATTCACTCTTTTGACTGAGCGAATATCTGCTCTGCTTTGTTCATTGAAACTTGCCAAAATGGCACCTGAACTAGCACAATAATGTAAACATCTCTATTACATATAATCAACTATATGAATGTTCAATTTGATTTCACAGGGAACGCTAGAGGAACTTATGGAGCAGGTTGTTTACTTATGGCAACTTATTGATACTAAAAAGGCAATAGCAGCTCCTGCCTTCATCAGAGAAGGCCTAAAGTACCATCTGAATTCTGTCATGATAACTACGACAACGGTGATGATTCCTTCATCGTATTTTAAGGGCATGATTCAATTGCTTGATAATGCAGACCACAGCGTGAAAAGGAAGGTAATTGTCACTCCTTACAAATGGCACATTTTTTAGATAAAGTGAGTATGAAGTGATGCAGAATCCAGTATGACATTCATATGCATCGACATTTTCCTTATAGGTAATTTCCCGCATCTGGCATTTTGATTAACTAACTAGTGGTATGCAGGCTCTTGTGCTATTCTCCAAAAGCATGAAGCATCTGGGCTCAACTCCATCAAAACGAAAGGAGAAAAGAGAATTCTATTTAAAGTTGACTAGTAGTTGGCTTCACCTTGATGAGGGTGCACTTGAAGCTCTTAACAAGATGTGTTTGGACATTATTCAGTTACTTGATGCATCAGTGGAAGATTCCAACACATCCTTGAAACTTGCAGCAGTTTCAGCCATGGAAGTTTTGGCTAACCGGTTTCCTTCTAATTATACGATTTTCAACCGATTCCTTGCATCTGTCATCGGAAACATACAGTCACCGGATGCCACACTATCTTCCAGCTGCCTTCGTACCGCAGGTACTTTAATAAATGTGCTTGGGGCAAAGGCACTGATTCATCTCCCCAGCATGATGGAGAATGTTATGAGGACCTTGGACAACATCTCAAGTTTTAATGCAGAAAGAAAAGTTGATGATGATGCTACTAGTAGATCATTGAATCCTAGTGATCTCTTGTTTTCAATTATCATTGCTGTGGAGGCTGTTGTAGACAAGCTTGGTGGCTTTTTGAACCCATACCTTGAAAGTATTTGTAAACTTCTTGTTCTGCATCCTGATTTAGCATCAGGATCAGACACAAAGCTGAGAACTAAAGGTGAGACCGTTCGAAAGCTCATTGCAGAAAAAATACCTGTAAGTTTTCTTATCGCACTTCATGCTTAACTGTGGTTGTTTCCAGATAAGCCTCAGACAGTATAACTCTTTACTTTCCAGGTTCGCCTTGCTTTGCCACCTTTGTTGAATCTGTACTCTGGTGCGGTTGTGGCGGGTGATTCCAGTTTGACAATTATGTTTGAAATGCTTTCACACATGGTTACTACAATGGATAGAACATCTGTTGCTGGCTATTACAAAAGGATCTTTGATCTATGCTTAAGCGCTCTTGATCTTCGACGTCAATGCCCTCTTTCAGTCGGGAATATCAGTGTGATTGAAAAAAGTGTAATCAATTCAATGATTTCGCTGACAATGAAGCTCACAGAATCGATGTTCAAGCCTCTTTTTATCCGGACCGTTGAATGGGCAGAATCAGAAGTTGACGAAAGTGAATATAGAGGCAGGAATCTGGATAGGGCAATATCATTCTATGGATTGGTAAATAAGCTTGCTGAAAATCATAGGTGAGTTACAGATAAGTGTTCCATTTGTATTTTTTCCTGGCGAAAATTAATTTAAGATGGTAGCTGTGAAGTTTTACATAATTACATTTATTTCTCTAAGAATGGGAGTCCTCGTTCCTCAAGAATGTTCATCTTGCTAACTAGTTAAGACAGATAGGGATCGCGGTGGGTTGGTAAATCGGACAGTCCACCTGCTCAAAATCTATTATTATAATTTATAATTGGGTTTGTAGGATAGAGGTTCGTAGTCCTGTTTAGAAGATTCTATTGGCACAGAGGAGGAGAGCCAAACTACTGCTCTTGTCTACTTAATAGCTGGTGGATAAGCACCTTTTCTCTTTCTTTTTAAAGTAATTCTGAATGAGGTCTTTATTCTTCTAAGCTTTTCTAGAAGATTGTAAATCTTGCAGTGACTTCTGGTTAACTGTTTCTCACAGTTGACTATGTTCCTTTAGTATTTTGATTTTAACTTCTGCAAGATTGCAGTTAAGAGGGTATTGGCAAGGTATTTGGTGTTTTGAAATTTCAAGGGAACCAAGTATGAGTTTGTTCTATGTACACGAGTGTTCAGTGAATTCTAATGCGAACAGTTGTTTAAGTAATTAAACTTTATAATTTTTACAGTTCATTACTCATACGATTTCATGCACAGATCCTTGTTTGTCCCTTACTTCAAGTACTTGCTGGAGAGTAGCGTGCGCCATCTTACTGATTGTGAGGAAGTACCTTCTTTGAGTTTGAAGCAAAAAAAGAAGAAAGCCAAAATTTCCGAAACTGGCGTTAAGGTGAAAGAGGCAAACAGTGGGCTATCCCTAGAGAAGTGGCAGATAAGGGCATTAGTCTTGTCAGCCCTGCGCAAGTGTTTTCTTTATGAGACTGGATCTTTGAAGTTGCTTGACTCCTCAACTTTTCAGGTTTATTTTCTCTTTTTTCCATGAAGTATCATATAGACATATATAGTACCTTCCTATTTTTTTTTGTCTTTGAGATTGTAATGTCAGCTTGAGAGATAGTTGTGTTTCCCTTTCCAATGAGCATCTTGTTATCTTCTACATCTTAGTGGGTTGCCACTTATGTCTACTGAGGATATGCTTCTGGTTCTCTACAGGTTCTGCTGAAACCTATTGTATCTCAGCTTGGAGCTGAACCACCACATTTGGTAGAAGACCACCCAGATGTACCGTCAGTGAAAGAAGTTGATGACTTAGTAGTTATTTGCACTGGTCAAATGGCTGTTACTGCTGGATCTGACCTTCTATGGAAACCTCTGAATCATGAGGTGAGACTTTGGAAAAACTGTTGTCCTCCGCTCTCTTTATATATAGATGCATGTTGTGCTTGTTAAGCCTGGATGACTGACTGATTTTGCCCAATTGCAGCATGTTTCTTTAACATCTCGGACTATGCAAGTTTTCGTTTTCATACGTAAGTTGTTTTAGGTTGTTAGGTACTAGAGAGACTCCTGACTTTTTTGTCAGGGGAGATCATGGAGGCTTCTCTGTTTCATTTACCTGAATGTCAATTCCTTTAGCAAGGACAGTTCATAAGTACTTCCTTAAATGGCTACAATTCTATTAAGTACTTGCTTGTCAAAGAAATTTCCTTCTCTGAAAGGCAAAGTGCTCCATTATGCTCTATATATCTGCAGATTTAAATTATGGTCTATGTGACCCAAAAATAAAAAAAAAATGAAAAATTATGGTCTTTGTGATGAGTGAATGCAATGAAGTAATGTAGATGTACATCTCTCTTCTGCACATCTGCAGTGGCTTACGCTTGGGTTTGGTGTTCTCCAAATTATTTTTTTTCCAGGTACTGATGCAAACCAGAAGCGAGAAGGTCCGATCTCGTATTTTGGGCCTGAGAATCGTGAAGTATCTTCTTGAGAACCTGAAAGAGGAATATCTCATATTTCTGCCAGAAACAATACCTTTTCTCGGGGAGTTGCTTGAAGATGTGGAGCCAACAGTTAAATCGCTTGCACAAGAGATTTTGAAGGATATGGAGTCTATGAGTGGTGAAAGCCTTAGGCAATATCTATGATTGATGGCAACATATTTAAAAGCTAATGCATATTGCTATAGGCATGGTCTTTGAGTCAACGATTCAAAGAGATTGTGATAGATTAGGTTGTTAATATCAGGTTTAATACTTGAGCCCCTGCAATTTTGAAGGTCAGCAGGACTAAGAATTTGGTGATGTTGGACGGTTCCCCTGTCTATACATGGCTGTTGTAATTTGAAAAGATTGCAAGGCAAGTTCACGATATGGTGTTCCTAGTTTGTGTTCCATGTTACACTATTTCATCTGCGTACTACATGCATGTGGGGTCGTTATTACATTGAACTTGGGTTTCTAGTCGGAATATGTACTTCTCTGAGCGCGAGGAAACTCTTAATTCTTGTTCCGATCAGAGTTCGCATGGACCGGTCAGTCATGAGGATCGGTTATGTGGAGTTTACATGAATTTTACATGGATCCCGGCATCTAATGGCTGTAGATTCATCAGTTGATGAACTCGTGTATATGCAGAATGCAAGGTCAAACTTACACCGGTAAGGTTGACAGTATCAAAATGACGAAATAAGAAAGGGCCCCGTGCATCTTGACAATAAGTACTTATAAATCTGACAACGGCTAATGGGCTCCGGTGTTATTGATCTACCTAACCTTACCTTAGCTGTCCGGTCTCGACCCTATTGATTGAGCTATTATATCTTCATTGGATTTAGACAAAATTAAGGCCTGGCATCAATTGTCTCGGACTGTTCAAATGTCCCTTTTATAAAATATAGCAGAACGACCCCTCGCATCGCTATGGATCCAGATAAGACTTTGCTCATTAAGACAAAGGTGACTCGCAACCACCAATGAGAGAGAGAGAGGGAGTCAGTGCAGTATCAGTGAAATGCAAATGGATAGAAACTGAGCATCCTGTATCTGTAATCACAACATTAAAAGAATATCCTACTGAAACTCTTCCGCCGCGAAAGCACGACAGGATTAGCTGAAGAATCACTAATCCCAGAAATCTTGCACAGACTAAATTGTTATAGCTCACAATGAACCTCTGGAAGACCCAACGATAAACATCCAATCACAACATCAGACCGAGGTACAGTGATATTGACAATCTTTGTTCGCCGAATTTTCCTGGACAAAAATAATTCGGGCGTGCCTCAACTCAACTGCCACTTCTCCAATTTCTGCAATGTTCATCACCACTCTCGCGTCATGGTGATACCCATTTAAAAAATGTTGGAATGTCAATGTCTTCAAACTCACCACTGCTACGCCATGCTAGATTCAGGAAAAAGAAATCTCAACACCATCGTATCCAGCTCCAAATCAGATGTCACGTCAACAATTTTGTGATCAGTACTTCTTCTTTCAAACGATTACTTCCTTACGTCCCGATTTCTTCAAGCTTCCTCAGGACTTGCCTCGTATTTGGCCTTAAAGAAGGGGATGGAGAACAACATGCCATAGCCAGTTGAAAAAATTTCAGAATGTGTTCCTCCGTAACTGCACTAATTTCACCACAGCTGTCCATGAGGAGGATGTCTGGATGGTATAGTTCTGAGAGCCTATGATCAAGGACTGCCCTTCTAACATAGTTTGGTAGATATGATTCTTCATCAGGGGATGCTTTATCATTTATCGGGTTTTTCTCTGTGATGAGTTCAAGAAAGATAACCCCAAGACTGTATATATCAGTTTCTTCGCTAACATCTCTCATTTTGATCAGCTCAGGAGCTTTGTATCCCTCTGCTGCTGCAATTTCGAGCATTTGTTGACCAGTTTCTAGATTAAGGAGTATATGCAGGCCATAATCGGAGATGTATGGTTGGTTGTTTCGATCTAAAAGTATGTTCTTGGACTTCAGATTTCCGTGGATCATGGGTCTTTGTAAACCGGTATGAAGATGATCCAGTCCTCTGGCTAAGCCAACAGAAATTCCGTGAATGACTGCCCAATTGTGAGACCCACCATTTGTATCTGCCATATCAACATAATTTGCTTCAACTCAACATAAACGTTCAGGAATCGAAAGCTAACCAACATGGAGACAACAAAATGTAAGCACTCAAATTGTCAAGATTCAACTTTAAGAAAGCTAATACTTCAGATTGTCTCTCTATACTTGGAACACTCCATTAAAATTAAGCGTAAGAAAAGGCAAACAAATTTAATCAACTCTAAAAGTTTATAATTGCGGGAGTGAAAAATGATTACTACATAATCTGAAACAGCTTCTCTTTTGAATGCAAATGCCTCGCTCAGAAGCAAGCAGCAAATTAATCACCCAACTGAATAATTCAATCGGAATTGGATTTTCTCGACAGATGGGACAGGACGTGCAGAACCAATTCCATTGAAGGAAGGCAACAATGTGCCAGACGGCAAAAGCAAAACCTGCAGTGTCGCTACATGACACGCAGAAACAACGCCGGATCAATCATCCAGACAGGCAGACACTGCTAACCTATGCAAGAAAAATCTACAGTGATTGATCAATGAACACTTTCCGGGACCACTTACACATGAAAAGTTTTCATCTTGCCATTATTCAACCGAACCCCATTTTTACCATCTTATTACCTTCTTTGATTAAACACTTGAGATCTCTAGAAGTCTTCAAGAAGAAAAACCCAGCAACCTTTCAGTATGGTCACCCAGAAAGAGAGGAACTTTGCTCTTAACTTTTCCAGGATATTCTCACCGACCAAACAGAGCAAGAAACAGAGGAAAATGAAAAGACAGAGTGAAAATGAAGTCAAGTACCTCGAATGAAATCTGCTAAATTCCCGCGCCTGTAGAAAGGATGAACGAGAAGCTTCTCGCCTCTGGGACCTCCGTAAAACCCCAAGAGGGGCACCAAATTAGGGCCCCTGACCCTCCCCAGACAGCGAACCGCGTCGCCGAATTCATCGCTCCTCGCGGCGCAGACGGGCCTCAGGAACCTCAACAGCTTCACCGAGCTGCTCCTCTGCAACATCGCCCTGTACAGAGTGCCGTAGCTCGACTTCCCGATCACCTCGCCCGGGGCTTCCAGGATGTCGCATATCGTCAGGTCCTCGCCCCCTTGGAACGTGATCAGGTCTTCCGGCGAGCACGGCGGCTCGCGGCCCACGTCTTCGCGTTTGGGATTCTGGGTCTCGACGCCGGCGTCGCTTCTGGGCCTCGACGATGCTCTGTGGAAAATGTAGACGGAGAGCGAGAGGAGGATGAGGAGGGCGGTGGCGGTTAGCGCGAGAATGAGGGTGAGGAAGTGGTTGGATTTCATTTCATGGGTGCAATGCTCGATGGGTATCACTGTGAAGAAGCAAAAGTCAAAGCTTTGAGAGTCGATGATGCTAATGCTAATGGGGTCTTTGCCCGGTATTTGCGGATTGGGAGTTGCGAGGACTGGAAAAAGTTGGTGGATCTGCTGAGAAAACAGGAACTGGAATGGACTTGGAGAGAGAGAGAATCTAGAGGTGGGTGGAGACAAAAAGACTAAGGTGGAAAAGAACTTTGTGTGGGGCTGCAGAACCCAAGATTCTGGAAATTACAGCTGCTTCCATTCTCAGACAAGACATCGCCACCAAAAAGGGACCTCAACCCACCACTGGTCAGAGAAAGAACATCAAGAAACACAGAAATGCATCATTTTGCACAGTGAGAGAAAGAGAGAGAGAGAGCTCTGCTTCTTTTTCTTTGGGTACGACAGCAGATCCCGAGCTGCGGTTCACTGTCTCGCTGTTTCTTCAACTGCGCAGCTGCCTATGCTCTGGCATTGGTCGTAAGCCCTCCTAGAACAAGAATGGAAATGGAATTCCCGGGGTGAAGAAGAGGAAAGCTCAGACCTTTTCTTTACGTAAGCATCTAGCAAACAACTTCATGGCCTGTTCCACCCCAAAACCAGTATGATAATAATTGGTTTCGCCTTCTAGTCTCAAGAATTCTCTCTCACGGGCGCCACCCAGTAATTCTAACTTTTTCAAGAGAAAAACGCCTTAAATAGCTTGATACTCCTCGTTATAAAAAGAATAAAAGAAGGGAAAATACATCCTAAATTCTAAAACTTATCACGAAAATACTAAGTCCTAAATCTAGTCGTGAAAGTGGGGTCGAATCCTAACATTTTCAAAAAGCACAAACAAATTCGAAAACTTATCAAATTGGTTCAATCAAGTCTTTCCGTTGATTATACTTTTTGAAAATTTTAGAATTCAATTACACCTTTGTGACAAGTTTTGAGATTTAATTATACATTTTGAGAATGTTAAGATTTGATTGCACACTCATGATAAGTTTTAAGATTTAATTATATTTATTGAAAATTTTAGAACTCAATTATATTTCATTATTAGTTTTAAGATTTTTAGTGTATTTATCCTAGGAAATAAAGGGAGAGATATCCTAGGAAATAAAGGGAGAGATGACTCTCGGTGATTTTTTCACTCCTCTCAAAGCTTTTGAGGACGAATTTACGTGATGTTCATCAGATGGAGGGGAAAGGAAGTGGGCCACAGCTTTATGACCGCCCACGTGGAGGCCCACAAAGAGGATCGTGCTGGACTGGAAAGAGGCCCGATTACAATCTCCATAATTGCTCCGCGGTGGGCCCAGACGGACGGCTCTTTTATTTGCGCCGCCAAATTTTTCTTGGATTTGCATTGGAAATAATCTCCTCTAGGGTACTACGGTCTAGACTTCACCTACAAATTGAATCTAGAGAAATTTTGCCAAAGAAAGAAATTATACTATGTACCCACATCAACCTTATGGCCGAGCTCTAATATCTGTGTCGGGTGATCTTGAATTTCTATCATTCCAAAAGTTAGCTCAAAGGGTGAGATTTTCCCTTACACTTATGAATTGACCGTCAGCACCTTTCACAACCGATATGGAATAAACCCCAACACGTTGGCCATGCCCAAAAGTCGAAAACAAGTTAAAATCGCTAAATCAACGTTTAGGAAGTGAAGGTTCTAATCTTAGGCTCCGTTTATTTCGCGAAAAATAAATAATTTTAAAAATATTTTCTTAAAAATGATCACTTGTATCTCTTGAAATAATTTGTCAATAAATTTTTTTTTCTATTATCAACAATTATTCGTATGTAAATATTTTTTATGAACGATGAAAATATTTTTCATTTATTCAAAATGTGGTACAAGTGATATTTTTAAAAAAATATTTTTTAAATCATTCATTTTACAAGATAAATTAACTTTACTCCCGAATTCATTACAATGCAAAGTTCGAATCTTCAAGTCCAGTTTAGAAGTAAAAGTGAAAAATGTCGGTGAACCCACGATGTGAAATGGCCGAATGAGGTGATGGTGAAAAGATCACATGCACTACCTTCCAAAAGTGCACGCGCGCGTTTAGAATCGAACAAATACGGCAATGCGTCGATGTGGTCTCCTCCATATAAGCGCCGACCATAAACAAGAGTGCGGATCTGGACCATCAAAAAGTGAAAGCTCTCTCTCTCTCTCTCTCTCTCTCTCTTGTTTTCGGGTCTTCTGTGAATCTGTATAGAAGAGGCCACGGTCCATGCTCTGAAGCTCATGTTCCGAGCGGCACGCATTCTCTCAAGCTTTGTTATCAGCCTGCATAAGATCATCTGTGTCGTGTATGTCCGGCGTTAGCATACACATGACATACCGACGTATAACCAGGACGAGCCGAGCCCGAATAAATACCATGTTCAGAGAGAGGGGAAAAGAAGAACCCATCTGCTAGAAAATTCAAAGGGAATTTACAAAAAGCTCCATGAACTTTCATTTTGTTTACCTTAACAGTTTCAGTATATTGACATTATCCGTAATCAAGTTGATTGTGCTAAGGATATTTGACAGTCGCTGTACTGGTACCTTAGTCTTGTATTTGTTGTTTTAACGGAATTTCAGAACTTAGGATGCACATTGCTTGGCATAGGAAAGTGACTACAATCTCTTTGTTGCATTTACATAGTATTAAGCCATTAGGCTAAAGCAGATTCACATGTTTGTTAACTGCGGATTGCTTTCACCATCCGAAGAATACAATGAGCAACCACATTTTCCTAGAAAGGGGTGCTCTAGGGAATGTAATACATGGGATTAGGAAGCTTGAAGGAGCGAATGGACATTGAGGAACCCAGTAGATCACTCCACTGGTCTCCAGAGTTCCCAAGAATCCTGTATCCCTCCCTCACCATTTCATCCCTCTTCTCCGATTTGTACGCCACTGCTCGTTTGGCGTGATCATCAGATGCTCTGCATCAAATTGGGCAAAATGATAATTTAGCATGGATAACTTAGGCACGAGGTTTCCAGACCGGGATAATAAAGGATTTCAATCTAGAGTTTGACGCCCAAATCAAAAGAAAATACAGCAAAGATGCTCGTGGATACTTGCAGAACAGTTTCAAAAGAAACAGACGATTTCTGGGACAGAAGTGGAAACCCAACAAATTAAAGAAGAATTTCCTATGTTATCAGGTCTACAATTAGACAACTGCTCAACCATTGAACGAGATGATGGCTGCTAGTTTTCCTCAAGTATAAAGTAAGCTCATTCTTCATAAGCCCATATCCACACAAGTAAATAGTCCACACTTCGCACATTTTCCAGAGCTGGATTATCAGCACGGTAAACTTTCCACAAGCGAAACTAGAACAAATTGGGATTATTATTAGGCCCACTGCCAGTATAAAAGTTTTTCTACACAATCATCGTTAGATGGATGACACACGTACTTACAAATAGTCGTGTAACCGAATTCAACCGTGTGCAATCCATCCAACGATAAACGTGTATAAAAATTTCTAAACTGTCACTGGATCTGATGATAATCGCATAAATGATACGCCTTAAGCCCCTCGTTTGTTATTTTCACCGCTCAAAACTAATAATAAAAAGGTCATTACCTGGATGCAGATCACCACCAGAAAGAAGAGGGAATCAAAAGTTTGTGGAAACCAATCGATAATTAGCAAGAAGCACATGCATGAGCCTACTCATGTTTCTATTGCTAAGATCTCCATATCAAGTTATCAACAAGTCCAATCACAATCCTAGAGAATGCAAAGCGGCTCAACAGCCAATATGTGCATGAATGCAATCGTGTCCTTCGAGGAGAAATAGTATACACAACAATTATCCAAACACAACACATAAAAACCTAGAAATATACTCTCACAAATCCACACTGGGTAACTGCATTCAGAAAACGAACGTAAATGAAACTAAAAATAGTCCAAGTATTCACGAGAGAGAAGAACATATTACGAACCTCAATATGAGCTTGTCCCAATTCCGAAACCCAGCATTGATCAGGTTTTCAACGGTGACACTTCTTTGGTTTTCACTACGCCCGGTGAGCAGGAAGACCTTGAAACCCAAGCCCAGCACTTGCTCATAGAGCTCCAGACTTGGCTGTATCCCCAGTGCCTCCGCCTTGTCAACCCACTTGTCAAACTCGACCGGATCAAACACCTCCAAGCTACAAGTTCAAATTCCCACTAACAATCCCAATCAGGAATCAATCACTTCTCAGCAGGAAACAAAAAGACATTTTCAAGGATGATTATGAATAGTACACCAGATGCAAAAAGATTCTAGCATTTTTATTTCCAAGTTTAGCTCTCTATTTTTTTAACGAGAAACTGCGTTGAACTCCGATTGTGCAACCCTCTTCGCCTCTGGAATCTGGTCTAGACTTCCTCCATATTCATTTTACACTTGGAATGCAACTATTTCGTGCGAAAGGCGCAAACTTTTTCGTTGAAAGCAGATGAATGTAATCTTTATTCCGCACTAATGAGTAGAATCAGGACAAAAGGGCAAAAGCAATTAAGAACAAAGCCGAAATTGTTACCCGAAACCGTGCTCGGCGTAGTAAGGAAGATTGGAGAGCAGAGTCTCGTCAATGTCGAAGATCCACGCATCCTTCCCGTCCCCACCCAATTCCACGCTGCCCGCAAAGACTCCGGCCTCGTTCGACACCCTATCGAGATCGAAGCCGTACGCTTTGCCCAACAAGTAGTCCCTCACGTAATCCGCGCACTCCTGCGGGATCGTCTTCCACGGATTGACATTGTTGGCCTCGACAGCGAATCTCCAGCTATCACACTGCAGCCTGACCTGTCCCTCGTCGACCTCCTTCGCGCTCGCGGGGTATTCGATGATCAGAGGGCGAGGGAGCGCGTGAGAAGCGGGCGTTTCCTCGGCGAGGGACAGACAGAGAAGGGGAAAGAGAAGGAAAAGTCTCCAGGAAAGCATAATGGGTATGGGGAAATCCGCAGGAATTCGGGAAAAAGATGTGATTTTGAACGATGGGCATGCGAAAGGAGAACTGGGTCTCTGCCTCAAAGGTATAATATGAAGGGAAGAAGGAAGATGGCGATGGAAGGGAATGTGCGTTTCTTGAAGCGGAAGCCCACGAAAACAGAGAATGCCCCCACGTTCGTTTGGTGGTGTTTAGAGGAGACCAATGAGTTTGAGTGTGGATTAAGCAAACGGCAGAAAGAGATGACTGCATTTGCAGTTCGACATTATTGAATCGATTCTGCGCAAAGCTTAATAATAATAAAGGCGAAAAACTTTTTCTTTCCTTTTTTTTTTGTGGAGAGGAGGGGAGGAAGGCGACGACGTGGAAACGATTCCTGTCCGCCGGGAGTGAATTTCCGATGTGGCAACACGCGACTTGTTGCTTCCGATGATATGATGTGTCCCGTCCGAAGAAGGAAGGAAGCCCAGAAGAAGGAGTTGATTTTGATGATGGAAATTTATTTATGAATTTTTTGGCCGATTTTTTCTTAGTTGTATTTAAAAAAGTAAAAGACCACCGTCGGAAGCGAATGTCAAAACCGTGAAAAGCATATAATAATATTCCCCGGCAAATGAGATGAGAGACCGCGGAATCATCCCACGCGTGCTGTGGTTTTTCGACGTTGACAACGAAAGTTCCTTGGAATTTGTTTAAGAAACGCGGTTGCTTTATCCGACATTCGATTGGTCGAGTTTAGGATTAGTTTGTGGAATTGGCCAAAAATGAATTGCGCATATCTAAACTGACCAAGCCCTTTGGGCGGCTTAGTGGCAGGGAATCGGGAGTGGGACACGCTAATATTGTAGGTGCGAAGTTCAACTCCTTGCAAAGGGACATAGCAAAAATTTGATAGAAAAAAGAGAATTAGAGATAAGACAGACCAAAAGAAGAAAAATCTAAAGTGACTTTGACTCTTGTTGTGAGAAAAAGAAATTTTAGCTTGAGGGGCAATTTTTCGATCCTCTAATTGGATTTATGGGACTTGCATGGACTGGTAGATTAGTTATAGAAAAACAAGAGGGCAAAAGCCACCTAAAACTCTCCATGTGATATATTTATCATAAACTTTTTCTTGTGACGGAAACATCCTAAACTTGTACTTATATTGTTGGGAGTGTGTGTCATATACCTTCCATCAAGATTCTGTTAAATGATTTTTTTAGTCAAAACGACGTCATTTTCATTTCACTTAAATCACATGTGTGCTATGTCAATACCGTTTGCTTCCTAGCGTCCATGTAAGCAGATTTTTAACGATGCTTATTGATGGAACCTTGAATAAGGGTTTTTCATGTGACAAAAAAAGTTCAAAGTAAACATGTCATAGTGCAAATAATTTGGGGATTTTTGGTAGCTTTTCCCAAAAGAAAAAGACCGTCGGATTTGCTATCAAAATATGGAACCGATGACTCGAAAAATAATTTTCAAATCATTCATTTTCCATGAAACAAATGAGACCTTAATGTTATTAACATAATTAAGTGCATGCATCATTTTTTCTATTAATAATATAAAAATGTATATTGGTTTTGTGGTGAAACAATATAATTTAGATAAATACATTACACCATTCAAGAGGATAATCAAGAGACCACATTCTAGATTAACTATATCATTTAAGAGTACATATGAATGTATTTTCTCTCTATCCAATTTTTAGAGTCCAAACTCAAGCAAAAGAATTTCGGAGATAACAAAACAATAAGTTAAAGTTTATTGGTCGAATTTGAACCATGCGGCATAATTATGCCTTGTAATATGCCACGTGACAATTATAGAGGTAAAAAATGAAGTGGCATTGGTGAGCTAACAAAGATTCCAATATATACCCAGATAGACATAAGATATTACTTCTTTTTTTTTGGAGTAAAATGACATTGGTTACTTTTTGTACAAAGGTTATGTAATCAATACAGGCGATAAGCTTCTTATCCTCATGCATTCGATCTATTCATGTGTTTTTGCATATGAATTCTTCGACCAATGATTCCATTGACCCATACATATGATATAGTTCTATTCAATTAGAATGTGTTGAGGGTGGGCAAGATGCCATACGAAAGACAAAAGGCAAGATGACAGGTAAAGTTGGTGAAGATTAAATAAATTGTTACTGTAGTAGCTTTTGGTACTTAAAAATTAGAAGCTTAAAAGCAGCTTGTTAGCTTTTCTTACTTGTCTAGCTAGTTCACTAGAAGACAGTTTAACAAGCGATGTTAAGTTCAGACACATATGTTCAGCTAATGAATTATCGTCGACCATTCGAGAACAAGGAGCCAACACAGCATCTATAAAATGAAACTAGGAAAATAACCTCATGAGAATGTGTTGCGCAATAATTGGGGGAAATTACCAAAAAAGTCATAAATCTTTTACAGTTGTGCCAATTCAGTCCTAAACCTTTTTTTTTTACCAATTCAGTTCTAAACCTTTTGTAAACCAGCCAATTCAGTCCTTTTGGCCGGCCGGCGCTGACGTGGCAGCCGGCCGGCGTCCACGTGATAATATTTTAATATTTTTTTTATTATTTTCGATTTTTTTCCTTTTCTTTTTTTTCTTTTCCTTCTCCCCCGGCCGTCCGTAAGGGGAGGCTCACGGCGAGGGCCCAGCCCGGCGAGGCGAGCTGGGCCCTCGCCATGGCGGGCGAGCTCCGCCTCGCCGGAGTTGGGCGAGGGCCTCCCGAGCTCGCCCAGCTCGCCCGCTCGCGGGCGAGCTTGCCTAGGCTCCGGCGAGGCGGAGCTCGCCTTGGCCGGGCGAGGGTGGAGCTCGCCCCATGGTGAGCTCGCATGCGGCGAGGGCCCGGCTCGCCTCGCCGGAGCCGGGCCCTCGCCGGCGAGCCTCCCCCCTGGCCTGTCCAGCCAGGGGGGAGAAGGAAAAGAAAAAAAAAAGAAAAAAGGAAAAAAAAATTCGAAAATAAAAAAAAATATTAAAATATTGCCACGTGGACGCCGGCCGGCGGCCACGTCAGCACCGGCCGGCCAAAAGGACTGAATTGGCTGGTTTGCAAAAGGTTTAGGACTGAATTAGCAAAAAAAAAAGGTTTAGGACTGAATTGGTACAACTGCAAAAGATTTAGGATTTTTTTGGTAATTTTCTCCAATAATTGGGAACGATCTAGTCTACGTACAAACATCGATTGAACGGCAAAGGGAACATGGGAGCAGGTTGAATCAGGCTATTGTCCTAAACCAATGAAATTTTCACAGAATACGACGCACATAAGGTGATGTTTATGTCCTCTTCAAGGGTTCACGTTGATATAATTAAGTCATTGCGTACGGTAATTTCCAACATCATATAATATATTTATTAACCTTTACATGTACATGCTCATTTCACTCCATACAAACACAAACACAAACACACACACACACACACTCTCCCTCTCTATCTGCATCATTTGTCTGTCTCTTTCCTCTGCGTGCTTGTTGCGTTCAGGGCTCTGATGGATGAGACACAGAAGCAACACCATGTTCTAATGGTTGCATTCGCATCTCAAGGCCACATGAACACCATGCTCAGGCTAGGCATGAAGCTATTCTCCAAGGGCATCAATGTCAAGCTCGCCACAACCGAAATAGCTCGCCACCGCATGCTAAGGTACTCCTCGGCCGCTGCGGATTCCGCCTCCGGGATCGAGCTCCTCTACTACTCGGACGGCCTCAGCATCGACTTCGACCGGAGGACCCACCTCGACTGTTACATGGAGTCCTTGGCCAAGTTTGGGCCCGCTAATCTCTCGAACCTGATCAAACAGCGTTACGGGAACCCTGGAAGCGCCAACCTTTTGTGCATCATCGCGAACCCTTTTGTCCCCTGGGTCGCCAACGTGGCGGCGGAGCACGGAGTTCCCTGTGCCTTGCTATGGATTCAACCCTGTGCGCTCTATGGCATATACTATCGCTTTTATAACAAGCTCAATTCTTTCCAAATCCTGACGTGCCCGGAAATGCGCTTGGAGTTACCGGGGTTGCCATTGTTAGGCATGCAAGATCTTCCATCTTTCGTGCTTCCGAACAACCCTTTCGGTAGCGTTGAGAAGCTATTGTATGAGGCGTTTCTTGCCCTAAGCATGAACAAGTTCAAGTGGGTATTGGCGAATTCATTCTATGAGCTTGAAAGAGATGTTGTAGATTCCATGTCCGAGCTTTGTCCGATACGACCAGTTGGTCCACTGGTTCCTCCATTGATGCTTGGTCAAGACCGAGAAGATGATGTTGGTATTGAGATGTGGAGATCCGACGAGAGATGCATCGAGTGGTTGGATCGACAAAGACAATCCTCGGTGATTTACGTGTCGTTTGGTAGCATTCTCGTCCTACCGGCTGAGCTGATGGAGAACATAGCAACAGGTTTGAGAATCTCGATTGCCTGTAGGCAAAGATTAATCCAATAAAAACATAATAAAAGTTACTGCATAAACTCATTGAATAATATTAGGTAATCAAAGGCAAACTTATAAAATTAACGTGTCAAGTGATATGACAAACTCTTATCGAGTGTTGAATATGACCAACTTATTTAATGGTTCAACTTCAGTTTTTCTCTAGATCGTAGACAAATCTATAGCATTAGTTAAACTAATTATACCAGACTAGCCCTGACGATCATATGCTCTAAAATGCAATTGATAAATAGCTTCTATCGAGAAAGATGATTAATCAAACTTGATTAGAAGTATGTATTGGTTCTACAGTCAATGGGGGGAGAGTTTTCCGGAAGTGTGGTTAACTTGTCGCATGACATATGCTAATAGTTTCTTTCCACAGGTTTAATGAACGCCAGACATCCATTTCTATGGGTCGTGAAGCCACCGGAATGGTCTACGAAAGATGGGGAAGGACAACTTCCGCTAGGGTTTCAAGAAGAAACGAAAGAGCAAGGTCTGGTAGTGCCATGGTGTCCACAACCAAGGGTCTTATCTCATCCGGCCATCGCTTGCTTCGTCACTCATTGCAGATGGAACTCGATCCTCGAAACTGTATGTTCAGGCATGCCGTTGATAGCCTATCTGCAGTGGACCGACCAGCCGGCAAACGCGAAGCTCATAGAGGATGTGTTCAAGACAGGGGTCAGGCTGAGATCGGCTCGAGAACTGGATGAATGTATCGAAGACATCCTTGCCGGCCCTCGGTCGGAGGAGTTTAGGAACAACGCGGTGGCGTTGAAGGAGGTTGCTCGGAAAGCAGTGGGCCATGGCGGCTCATCGGACCGGAATGTACAGTTGTTTGTGGATGAGCTGACTGAAAATGCTTCTGGGTGATTAATTAATCAATCACGCTAATCATGGAAACTATGGGGTGTTTATGGTCCGCTTATGGTTAGCTATTGTGATTGGATTAGAAGCCATGTTACTCTTGTTCTTAAATGATTGAAGAAATGCGTGTTAGTACTAATTAAACTTAAGGATAATACCCCGAAAGCTCCAAACCATTATCCATCTGAAACAAATAACCTAATCTTTAATGGAGACACCAAATTCTCTCAACTTTCAACATTGTATAACTTTTTGGGCTAAATTGGTACCAATGCCAAAAAGTTTATGATGGAATTGACCGGATAGACTGAATTAGTACCAATGCCAAAAGGTTTAGGACTAAATTAGTCAAATTGAAAGATTTAGGACTGAATTAGTACCAATGCAACAGGTTTATGATATTTTGGTATTTTTCCCTATAAATCATAGGCTCGACATTTGCCTTTTTTCCCTTCATTGCCTTAAATATTTTTAAAATAACAATCAAGATTAAACCTTCTCGAAAATGCTCTTTTGCCTTTTCGCTCTCCATTGAACAATAACAAAATATTTATCAATCCAAGGATTAGATATAACAACCATGAAAGACAATAATTGTCATCAATCTTGTTAAATTTGATTATTACTCAAGTCGCGTGACTCGTGCAACTCCTTGTTATCCGTCAAAAGGTGTGTTACGGCAATCTACAATTACATTTTCATTTTTGCATTAACATTCATTATCGTATCATAAATAATAAAAGCAAGTTTATAAATTACATTTACGTTGGAAAAATTACCAAAAAACTCATAAACATATTATATTGGTACCAATTTAGTCTTAAACCTTTTAATTAGACCAATTTAGTCCTAACCTTGTCCCATTGCTACCAATTCAGTTCATCCGGTCAATTTTGACTGGAAATCGCTGACGTGGATGCCAGCTATTCTATGTGGCATGGACGTAGGACCGTCGGTGTTGACGTGGATAAATTTTAATAATTTTTTCATATTTGTTAATGTTTTCTTTTTCTTTTTTTTTTCCTTTCTTTTTTCTTTTTCTATACATTGTTGGTCGGCAAGGTTGCCGCCCACCACAGGTCTCGGCGAGGGCCGCCACGCCCTCGCTTAGACTAGGGGAGGGCATCGCAGCCCTCGCCAGCCATGAGCGAGGGCCTCCGCGCCCTTGCTGGCCAACAGGCAAGGGTTTCGGCCCTCGCCCAAACTAGCCGGTGGCTGGCGACCTCGCCAGCCAACAATGTATAGAAAAATAAAAAAATAAAAAAAGAGAAAAAAAACACTAAAAAAATCTGAAAAAAATTATAAGTTTTGTCTATGTTAGCGTCAATCGTGCCACATAAGACCGCCAGCATCCACGTCAGTGATTTTCGGCCTAAATTAGTTGGATGGATTGAATTGGTAGCAATGGGAAAAGATTTAGGACTAAATTGGTCCAATTAGAAGATTTAGAACTGAATTGGTATCATTGCAATAAATTTAGAACTTTTTTGGCACTTTGTCCCATTTATGTTAGTAGGATGCTTTTTTATTTCATAAATTATCTTTTGGGTTCACAATTTTTTTATAATACAAACAAAATCCTAAAGGTCATATATTGAGTTGTAAATTGCCGGGACAATTTTCCAAAAAGTTCTAAACCTATTGCACTTTTGTCAATTTAGTTCTAAACCTTTTAATTTTGCCAACTGAGTTCTAAATCTTTTCATGTTTTGTCGATTGAGTCTATTTGACCAATTTTGGCCGGAAATCGCTGACGTGGATGCCAACCGTTCTATGTGGCACATTTGATGTAAACGTGGATAATTTTTTAATATTTTTTAGTTATTTATTTATTATTTTCTTTTTCCTTTTATTTCTTCCCTTTTCCTTCTTTTCTTTCTTTTTTTTTACTGTGGGGCGAGGGCCCGGCGACCCTTGTTGGCCACGGTAACAAAAAAAGTAAAGAAGGAATGAGAAAGAAAAGAAAAAAAGGAAAAAAAATAAAAAAATAAAAAATTAGAAAAAAATATTAAAATATTAAAAAAAAATAGTCTACATCAGCGCCGGCCGTCATCAACGTCATGGATATCTGGTCAAAATTAGCCAGGTGAATTCAATTGACAAAACGTGTAAAGATTTAAGACTCAATTAACACAATTAAAAAATTTACAATTGAATTGACAAAAGTACATTAAACTTAAGATTTTTTAAACAATTTTTCCCAGGCTTTTGAGTGCCGTAAGATATAGCTACCTGCTATAACAAGGACACTTTATAAATGGGATGTGGTTCCCTTTTTCTTGAACGGGACCCAAGTAGGACCCCCAGCTCGGGTCCCTCCTGGAGTTCTGGCTTGATTATGAATATGTAAACTTCACGAAAGCACACGAGAGCATCCACAACTCAGCAATGCCACTATAAAGCAACCGTACTGATTGCCACCGGAGAGCGTGCACAATCATATTTCATGGTTTTGATTAGTAACATAAAAGGAAACAAAAACAGGCATCATCTTCAGGGCCTGGAGACTTGTTTTCACGAGTCTAAGAATTTGAAGCCAGAACATCTCATTCTCGTGACTTGTGAGTCTCCTCCTTCGGTTGGTTTGTCGGCCGGCCTCCAGATAGAAAAATTTCGTAACCAGCGAAGGACTGACTTTTATGTAGCTTCTTAGAAGTTCACCTCCGGCAAACGACGATGTGCATCTAGTTGGCACAGCTCGTAGCTCATGGACTAGGACATGTGAGCATATGATGTCTTGGAGCCAGAAGGCATGTCAATGTAATACAGAGGAGGATATGCATTTTAAAAATTTACCAGACAGTAACTTCAAGTAAGAATATGTACAATGCTAATGACATGCCGCTGAAGAACTCTCATTTTCTTTTTATCTTATGGAAGCAACTGAGACTTTGGCTGCACATGGTTCTATTCCTAATGCCCTACCTGTCTAATAATACGAGGCCGAATCTTTCTATCTAGGAAATTCAAAATTATCGAACCATAACTCAGAAGACTACGCCATCTACTTCCATCTCCCCGACTATGGCACCCTAGACTTCCACTCCATTATAGCGGATAAGAGAGTGTAGTTCGGTATCAGATTCTTATGTGGCAGCGTCAAGTTAGTCATCGGGGATTTGTCTTTCTCTTCGAGCCATTTCTCAATTGCTGTGCGGTCATAAGTGTATCCGTCTGCAGCAACACACGGGTCGGCCATGACATCCTGTGAAAGGAGACAGCAATTTCAGACTGACAATTTCTCTCAGATGTGGCGAAAATACAAAGACAGATCTTGCTTTTTGACCGTTGTGCTTTAAACACCCTTCTCGTCACTTGTTTGTCATCTTTCTTTTTTCACTCTCTTCCTTTTTTCCTTGAGAAGAGTAAGATACACTCAACCATTATGGTAATGTAAAAAAGTAACACCCTCTAACTTCCTTAACCTACATTAAATTTTCAAAATCGACAACTTCCTAAACTCCTCTATTTTGATGCTCTCGGCAAGTGTAATGCAATTATGTTGCCTAAGACCAACGTGAACATCTTAGCTCAATGAAAGGAAAAATAGGATAGGGGTGGGGTGGGGCGGGGGATGCTAGAAGAGGTCATTTTATCTTCCGCATGCTTATTGCCTTCAACAAAGAGATTAAGAAAATAAGAGCTAACCTTGAGAATTGGGCAGACGAAATGACTTGGAGGCGAACTTTTGACATTGGAAGCAGCATCTCTGGCCTTGTCAGCAGTCTCTTTCAGTTTCTCCAGTTTAGGAAGCACTTTATCTTTCAAGTCAGGTCTGTCTCTTCTCCGAAGTTCAGCACAGCTGAGACCCAGCATGGCCAATTCTCTCGTCTCTTCAAGCGGCCAATCGCCAGCCTCTTCATCCAATATCTCTACCAAAGATCCTTCCTCTATTGCTCTTTCCACAGTATGGGTCAATGCTATTACTGGTTTTGCAGTCAGCAGCTGCAATATCACCATCCCGAAAGCATAAACATCGGATTTTGGAGAAATCTGCCCAGTCCTTTGGTACTCTGGATCCATATAACAAAGTGTCCCCACAGGACCTGTATCGTTGTATGTGGTGGATATAGTGGGGTCATCATTGAGCATGGTCGAGAGACCAACATCTCCAATCTTGCTCACATAGTTATGGTCAAGCAATATATTTGCTGGCTTCAGATCTCGATGAATTATTGGCTTTGGCTTTGAGTTGTGGAGTAATACCAGAGCAGACGCCACTTCCCACGCTATTCGGAATCTGGCAAACCACGGAATTGGTGTCGTATTGTTTCTGCAAAGAAGCCTCTCTTCTAGGCTACCGTTCTCCATATACTCATAAATTAAGCAACCATGATCTGGACATGCACCAATGAGGAGAAGCAAGTGTGGATGACGCACTTTGCTCAATATCTCTAGCTGCATTTATAAAAAATGAAAATAACTATTAGCAATTCTGGTCTGGACATGGCAAGAACAAGGAGTTCACTACATAATCATTGCCATTTGATGTAAAAAGCAAAAAACAGTATCCTTACTGTGGAGAGAAGTAGATTTAGAAGAGAAAAAGAACTATTAAGGCCACTTTCTAACAGATGGAAAAAACTAATGCTACAAAACTGAAACATAATTACAAGACCAAAGCATGTCAACAAAGAGGTGTTGTTTCGGACTATGCATCAACTTCATACCTCCTGCTGAAATTGTTTTGATTTGTGACTCTCTTTCGAGTGAAGAACTTTGACTGCCACATTTGTGTGATGCAAACTGCACTTATAGACAGTTCCATAAGCTCCCATTCCTATCTTAAGACTTTCAGAGAATGATGATGTAGCAGATACAATCTCTTCCCAGGCAAACATCTGATATCGCAGCGACTGGCCCAAAAGAGCATTCTCCAGCTTTTCCTTCTCTTTCACATCATGCAAAGCCTTCATCTCCACCTCTTTCCTTTGGGAAGCCTCTCTTTCAGCACAATCGTTCACATATGCGGCTTCCATTTTTGCAGCATGATGCTTTTCCTGCTCCTGTCTAGCTAATTCTCCTGCTCTGTGTTCCTTGGATTTTATGTCCTCCAATTTCATGGCTTCCTCCGACTGTCTTTCCTTGAGCTTGTTTAGCTAAACAAGGCAAGAAAGCATGTTACAGCCAATAAAGCAGGAGAAGAAAAGTTTTCACATTCAACTGTGCGACTGCAGCATAGTCAAAAGTGCAGGCCAGGACTAGACTTTTGATATTTACTTCGCTATTTTTGTATTAAAATGGATACTAGTAGATTCGCATTGCATTCAAGAAAGCAGATGTAAAATTTTTTGAATATTACGGACTTAACCAGATAAATACCACTGTCAGTCAAAAATGATAATACCACGATTAATCTTGCCTCGGCCCTTGCAATAGATAAAAAAAAAAAAAGACGACCTTATAATGAAAGAATGAGATAGCTTGAAACCCAGTTAAAAGGAAGATGAGGGTACACCTTTCGGGAAGCATCCATTGTTTCACTTTGGGCCATCGCATACATCCCACGAGCATGTCTAAGTTCAATTCTCAGCTTTTCCAACTCAAAGTTGAGATTAGCCTGCGATGCAAAGATGATTATATTCACAAATTAAAGAATTCCCTGATTTGAACCTTGCTTTTGGCTGGGAAAGAAGACAAAATATTATAGGGATATATCATTACATAACGTATAGAATCTTCTTGTAGCAATAATTACAAAACCCAGGCACGATCCTTGATTGAAAGGGAAGGTCTTTTGAACATATTAACAAGCAAAATCAACTTTAGGCTGAAACAGAGAAAAAAGAAGATGGAAGAGCTACCTGACTTTCCGATGAAGGATAATCAGTGAGCGTCTCTGAGGTGGATGCTTGATCGGAGATCCAAGATTGTGCATCTGTTATCAAGCTTTGGACACTGGATGTTTGCCTCATGGTACTTTTGACCTCAGAACCATTATCAGTTTCGTCACCTTCTTCGATTTGCAGAGATTGGCATCTAGAATGGTTAGTTTGAGTAGAAAGCTTTGCTGTGCTATGTAGGGATTGGTTTATAGTGGACAGAGCTTGAAAACGTTGCATGGGTAAGGAAGGAGAGTGAAAATGAGAGTGTGAAGTAACTGAGCTGGTGTCTGCATCACAAAAAAAAGGCTGATGTCAACATTAAAAAAAATGTGGGAAGATAGATAATATTAATTGGTGAATAAACACTCTATTCATTGTAAATAATTGTTGTTGAGCAGAGCTGTTGCCCCCACTAAATGGGCCAAGTCAAGGTGTTTAAGGTCACGCTGGAGGCAATTGAGGAATTTTCAATTATTTGCCAACAGAAAATGTTTCGACCCACTTTATCAAGACTTGCACCTACTTCATCTGCAGAAAGAAAAATAAGGGAAAACAGAAAAGGCTGTCTACACTGGTACAATTAAGCGAAATTCATCACACGTGTTATCCTATTACTGCAATCCTTGCCCTTTCTCTAATTGCATTTCATGCTTCACAACATCATCATTGAAATGAAGTTACTAAAGTTCCCTTAAAAGTTTACCTCCTCGTGAGCTGGAAGAATAAGATGCACTCTTGGCAGAGCAACTTGTGTCACTGCTATCATCCTTAATGCTTACACTGGACTCCAAGTCCGATGGGCGAATTGAAGATAATTTGCCTTTCGAAACAGCATATACTGTACAGAAACTTGGGGTGCAAGCCGAAATTCTTGAAGACAGATTATGTTTCTTAAGTTTCCTGCAAATATACCATTATCTATTCAATTTATCTTTTCCAGTCTGTGCGTGCATATGCAATTAGGTTGACTCTGTCAGGGAGAATCAACATGGCGTGGAACAGATCAGCAGCTAATAATTCAGAGAGCTTACGCTTCGAAAATTTATGAACAAAAGGATCAATTAAGGTACTTATCCAACATATCTGACAAAATGGAATAACTCATAATTTTCTTCTAAGACCAAAACACTTCCAATTCACTACTTTATAAATCTTCTTTTTTTTGCTAACAACTACTTTATAAATCTCAGAGAAGCTAGAGATGCAACATTTGAAGTCAAAGCATAATATAAGTTCGTTATCCACGTATTTGAAGAATGACAAGAAAGACTACTATTTGATCTGCTCGATTAACAACTTAGCAAACAGGGAGTACCTTGTGAATATTCCACGAGAAGCAGCTCCAATAACAAGCTTACCAATAGCAGATTTGTTAATCTCTTCCGCAATGGCATTCTCCACATCATCAGACTCAATTAGCACGACTTCAACTTGCACCTGTCATCCCAAAATAAAAGAAAATCAAATTCCTGCTCACTACATTCACGGAGTGGGAAATCCATAAGAAGCCAAAACTGCAAACCTTTCTCTGAGAACACATTTTCTTAAAAGGAAGTAGCATTTCATTAGTCTGCCACTCCATTTCCTTCTTATAAGCAGCCGCTACATCTTCTCGAACTTGTGAAAGAGGAATGGAGTTTCCCACTGTAATGGCAAAAAGAAAAGGTCGTATGTTACATTTTCCACCTATCCACGAGGCCATAAAATTCAAAGGGACTGATATAACTTACTCGGTGTAGGCACGGCCGTAATCCTTGGACGGACATGGACCAACTTGAACAGCACCTCTCCCTGCGGAACAAACTTGTCCAATGCCCACCTGACCACATACTTGCTCCTTCTCTTCCCATCAATGGCTATTGCTACGATCAAACGCGGTGGAGATGGCAGCACAAGTTGGCCTTGTGATTGAGTGATCTCATTCCCCGCCATTTATTATAGACCTACTCTTTTCTGAACAGCAAAAATTCTGAGGAAAAATAGAAATTAACACAAGTCTTTCGTAACCAGGGTAACAATGGCCAGTGAATATCAAGGCCTCTCTAAGACAACTAACTCAGAATTCATTCACTTTTCATATTGTTCTTTACGCACAAGAGATATACCCTCGATGACCTTGGGAAGAGGTAAGCATAGTGGCCCTTAGAATTATTTCTGCTAGGGGATAAAAATAGTCCACAGAGCTCACGAAAAAGCATAAATATAGATATAAGAAAAGTTTGAGCTATAATTCAAGTCCAACCCTGCCATTGGAGTATCAGAATTTTCAGAGAGAACTGAAGATGATCCTTCATGAGTCAATAAACGGAAACATATAGACCCAAAATACCATATGCGAGAGAGAGAGCGAGGGAGGGAGCAGAAACAAAAATCAGAGAGCAAATTGGAATTTCACAAGCCACACGAAAATGGAAGTAAACAATACAGCTAAGCGCACATTAGTTGCAGAGAAATGGCAAGAGCAGGATTTGACAGGGACGAGGACATACCAGCACTCCCCCACTTCAAAGATTCAAACTTTGCACGTCCTCGAAGATAGGAAGAAGGAACCCATCAAAACTTCTCCCCGAAACGCCCGAAAGATGTCAACTTTCGGCGTCTCTGAGGTGAATTCGATACAACAGAACCGAAAGGAGGCGATGCCTGGGAGCGGAAAATGAAGCGAGACAGGGCGAACGCGCGCACGCGTTGATGTTGTTAGTTTTGTACAGAAACAACGCGTGCCGTGAGGAAATTACTCGTCTCTGAAAATCACCTCTTTCGTCACTATGTATTAATTCCATGACGATAAACCCGCCTGGGTCGTTGAACGGGATGCAACTTGTTTGATGTTATAGTTTGTTCACGGTGTCGAAGGGGGACCCCGTTGGCTCTGTTGGTTTCGCTTTCCTCGTCATTTCTTGCGATTTTTCCTGGTTTTGTTTTTTCTCTGCGGACTCTCGCCGCTTTCCTTCCCAGCAGACGCCAATGGCCACGATTTCCTCAAGTGAACATCTGTATAAACTAATGAAATCTTACAAGGAATCTTATTGAATGAATGGTCCAAGCACGTATTGAGCATAAAATATATCGATTTTCAAAGTATTAAAATGACGGGAGACAGGAACATCTACGTATAGTTTAGATTTAGACTTTCTCCGGGTTTATCCAAGATAAATTGATGGCGAATTTATCCTGGTCTTTTCACATTGGAAGCTACCTTGTTGTGTCTGGAGATGCTATTAATGTCTTGGGATTATTTAAGGAAGATGTCGCATCCATGGTGGGAACAAAGAACGGTGTTAGTCAATCCGTCGTGCGTCACGTGCATGTGTCAGAATGCCTAACCCTTTCTTGATTGAGGAAATCCACTTTAATTTTTGAGCCATTCGAAGCTTTTTTTTTTCTCTTCTTTTTACTTCCTTTATAGCTTTTTAATCATCTGATCTTTTGTTAATGATTGGGAGTAGAAACGGCCACAGGGCTGTCGTGTGAAGAAGAGAAACTTGCAAGTTTGACCGCGTTAATGTATAGAGTAAAAGGCCGACCAAAAACAAATGTATAGAGTAAAGACTCGTGGTATATCTCGATTCTCGAATGACATATTGAATCAATGGTCCTTCAAAAGTTAAAATATACGCACATCATTCACAGTTTTAAGTATAAAGTAGAACAGGTTTGTATTGCAGCTTGCAATTTGCATGCAATAACATAACAACATTGGTAGCAGGCATAAAATCCGTCAAAGTAGCTGATTGGATTGTAAAAGCCTAAAGCAGGAAATATCGCTTGCAAACTAGATTTCCTGACCCCACTAGTTATTTGGGATTTACATTATTTTGAGGCACTTTTGATAAGAATAAAGTGGAAGATAAAGTTGTGAAATTTCAATATATTTGATGAATTATACAAGAGAGCATGCTTTACAGAATAGTTATTTGTAGTAACATAATACTACAATAGGAATTACAATCGATCAAGATAACGAGATTACGATATGATAGATACACAGAATTAGGTAATATACTTCAACACCCCCTCAAGCACAAGGTGAATTAGAGTTTGGAGAAAAGGCTAGATGTGCCTTAGTACATACATCAACAATTTTATTAACCGGTGAAGTAGAGACGAGGCGAATGGAGCCATGAAGCACATGAGAACGTATGAAATGACAATCTATTTCAATGTACTTGATGCACTCATGAAAAACATCATTTGTGTATTAATTGGATAGCACTTTGATTGTTGCAATAAAGTACTGTTCCACCGTTATAACGGATGCCCATGTCCTCTCATAACCATTGCAATCATAATAATTTTATTGTCGTATAAGCTAGAGCACGATATTATGCTTCCGTACTAAATCAAGTGACAACAATCTGTTTTTTGCTACGCCACAGGAAAAATGAGTTACCTAGAAAAGAAGAAGTATCCGGTAGTGGTGCGACAATCAAGAGAGTCTCCAGCCCAGTCAACATTTGAGAAAAAGCCTTCAACTCCAAGTAGAGGTGTCAAAATGGGTCTTAAACCCATATATGACCCATTTAAAAATAAATGGGTCAGGTCACTTTAATTTTAAAGAGCCAACCTTAAATGGGTTTTAAATTTTAAAGCTTAAAGATAAATGGGTTGAGTTTGGAACCCATGTTCAACCCATCTACTAGACCCATCCACACTCTCTCTTTACAAAAATGTTTAAAAAAAATCGAAATTTAATTATTTTTATTTTTTCTCCTTTTCTTTTATTTTTTCTTTACTCTTCTTTCTTTTTCTTTTTTTTTTTTTTTTTTATTCCGGCTATGGTCGGCCACGCGACCGCCCACCGGGCGGACGACCTCGCCGGCCTCGGGCGAGGCTCGAGCCTCGCCGATCCGGGCGAGTCCTCGAGCTCGCACGATCCGGCGACCTCGAGGCTCGCCGATCCCGCGAGGCTCCACCTCGCCGATCCGGCGAGACTCGAGCTCGCCGGCCTCAAGCGAGCTCGAGCTCGCCGGATCTGGAGAGGTGGAGCCTCGCCCGAGGCCGGCGAAGCTCGAGCTCGCCGGATCTGGCGAGGTGGAGCCTCGCCCGAGGCCGGCGAAGCTTGAGCTCGCCGGCCTCGTGCGAGCTCGACCTCGCTCGGATCCGTGAGCTCGAGCCCGCCTCGGCGAGGCTCCACCTCGCCCATCCGGCGAGGTCGAGCTTGCTCGAGGCCTACGAACTCGAGTCTCGCCGATAGGCGAGGCCGGAGCCTCGCCCGAGGCCGGCGAACTCGAGTCTCGCCGATAGGCGAGGCCGGAGCCCGCCTAAGGCCTGCGAGGCCGGAGCCTCGCCAGATTGGCGAGAACGAGCTCGCTCGCCTCGGCGAGGCCTCGGCCTCGCAGTTAGGCGAGAACGAGCTGCGAGCCTCCGGCGAGCTCGTCCTCGGCTGTGGTCGGTCGCCGGCCACGGCGGCCTGATCGGCCAAAAATAAAGGAAAAAGAAAAAAAGAAAAAAAAAATTAAAAATTCGATTTAAAAAATAAAAAAATATTAATTTTTTTTATTTTCTTGGATAATGACTTTATGGAAAATATTTTCTAGAAATGTTGCATTTTTCGCAAAACAAACAGAACCTCAATTTTAAAAAAAATTATAAAAAATTTTCACTAGCTTTGTATTGCATAAAATGTTTTAGCAGTATAATTTAAAAAAAATCATAAGAAATAAGTATTCCTAGATTAGGTTAAATATAAAAGTGTTTTAGCAATATGGGTCGGGTCGGGTATGGGTCGAGATATTTACACTATGAATAAATGGGTCATAAACGGGTTAATGGGTCAATTTGGGTCGGACCATTTATGATCCGACTCAAACCCGACCTGACCCGACCCACCCGTTTAACAGATCTAACTCCAAGGCAGATTGAGTAGAAAAGTGAAGATCATGAAATGAGGTGTCCCTTATACAGTGAAGAATTCGAAAAACAGCAGTAAAATGAGCAGGATTCACTAATAAAAAGACTGTTATAACTCCCATTGAAACTAATGCCATAACGTAGGTAAATGAAACTCGTTTTCAGAAAAAAAAAAAAAAAAACCAAACCCATCAATGGGTTTTGCTTTTAAAAGAGGTGTGAAGCGAAAATTGTTTGACTTTTGGGGTCTCTCCTGTGGGGCTCGAACTCGGTACCTAACACGTGTAGACTATGCAATGACTTGGTCAAATCGTCAAAGTCGCATCAACTTGTGCTGCAGTTGCATGTACAGATCGAGAGAGAGAAATAGAGCAGCAGACGACTTTTCCAACTTCTTTCTTCGATTCTTCCCCTTTGAACGATGCATCTAGACCATCTTCCATTCGAGCCTTGCAATTGGTCGGTCATTTTCTTAACCACTTGTCGTGCAGAGAAACTTCTATATTCAAGCAATTACTTTGAATCAATCTCATTGGACATATTAAACACATGAGTCCTACCTAATTACTACATGATGTTCTTAACTCATGATATGCTACTTAACACATAAATTTATCGCATCAAACGTTACAAGAGTCTCACATAAAAAAAAAAATAAAGAGAACAAAGATAAATGTTCATGAAAACCCTCCTCTTTTTGGCTAACCGAGTTATATTTAGCCGTTCAAATACCTTTTTTGGTTGGCGATTTTATAGCTTCAAGAAATCGTATCTTTCAATTCTTCAAATTAGATACCAATTCCGTAACTTTTTGCGTCACATAAGCGCGCATGTGTATATTCATGTATGTATAAATCTTTACTGACCTCGTATAAGAGGCAAATGTCACTGATCAAAGCTCTCCTTTAAATTGATCCTATTCCTACCTTTGAATGTCCTTTTGTTAATAGGGACAAGGACAGCCTTTAGTGTCCCCTTGCTATAATGTCAAGGCGGGACCATATTGTCCTATTGCTATTAAGTCAATTTGGGATTTTCTACGGTTACCTTCTTCATCCCTATTCTGAATTTCGTAAGGACGTGACAAGTTGTGCTTATTCCATTTTTTTTTTTTTTTTGGGTTTTGTCATGATACCGTGAGGAGTCGGAAGTCTATTTCACTGTCCGTAAATCATGTCGGATCGAATATTCTTTTCAACAACACAAGTCACAAACTTAAGTTTACTTATCAAAGCTTCTAAATAGGTGGATAAGGTGCAATTGTCCAAAGGGTGGTTTTTGATTCCCTTTGTTGACTTTGTTGATCTACCTAATAATTTCTCTAGGGAGGAATATTCTGATTTTTGTGGGTCCATTTCATTTATTAAATCAAGCTGAACAACTTATCTTTTCCCAAAAGAAAAAAAAATGGAGAACCAAACTTGCAAATTCATTTAAAATATGCAGAATTTCAATTCGTCCAAAGACTCTTCGAAAGCTCCATGTCCAAGAAGAATATAGTTTGTAGAGGACTTGCCAGATAGAAAATAAAACCAAATTTGGCCAAAGCTGGGCCAAATTCAAAACTTGATAGCCCAACTTTGGCCCAGCAAGAAGAACCGTCAAGTTTGAAGTTTGGTTTCGGATTCGGAACTTATAAAAGGTTCAACTATAATGCAATAAGTAGACATAGGTTTTATTAGGAAAAAATCAGTTAAAAACAAGAAGCAGCCGAGAAAACGCAAGCTGCGACTGCACTGGGGATACACCACTTTTCCAGAAACTGCTAGAGTTGCTTCTTGTACTCTTACTTATCCCAATAGTTTTGCTTTCATCTGAATGCTTGTCTACGTAAACCTGTAATGGAAACATTATAAAGTCCAGCATGTACTGCATCATGCTAGTTATATAACTTAAAAGTGCTAATAACTCTGTAATGCTTGCACAAATTATATTTCTACGTACACGAGAAATAAAAAAGCCAATCATAGTAAGGCCAGGCTATCCAGAGATCATGGTCAGAAGAAAGCGGCTAGCGACCACTGAGGCGATAACTTCTTCCGTGGAAAGCGACTCCATCAGCCGACGAATTAGGCTGCTGCACCGGCGCTTGATCCCTTGTCTGCGCTTGCTCGTGGCTGCTTGTTCGGGTTGCCGTTCCACCAAGTCGGTGACTTCTTCCGCGAAAGGCAATTCCAGCGGAGGGGTCACTCTGTACCGGCGCATTCACTTGAATCCCTTCACCCCAGTACGCTACTACCTTGTGACTGCTGATGGTTAAGGATTATACATAAACATGGTTCACGTCTAAAGTATACATAATACCATCACGGCTGATATAATTAGCAATCTCATCTTGTTAACTGGGTATTTGTAATTTGCACATCAACCTTCTTCGCTGTCAAAAGTATATGGTCCTCAGCTACGGGAAACTCATTGTCAAAAGTAACGAAAAAAGGTGCGAAAACTTCATGCACTCAAATTGAAGAGAGAAGCATTCAGTGGGAGGATACACCCAGAGAGGTGTCTTCAAGAGGTTCCTTCCACCGGCAAGAGGGTGGAGTACTGTTAGGAAGTAGTATAAATGACCAGCAACCATCCCCAGAATATCGGGTATTAACGGGTCTCCAAAAATCAGGTCTAGTGCCAGCAGTGCCCATGGGAGATAGAATCCCTAGAAGGACAGATGATCTAGGTTCAACAGACTTTCCTCTCTCTGGGAAACCAGAGTAAGTGGATTGCATTATACCAAAATAGAGATTGCAATTTTACCTTCAATGAAACGACACCGTAAAGGTTGATTCGGGCATTTGGGAATTCACGGCCCCACACGTATACTATCATGAAGACTAAGGAAGGTCCCATGAAAGGAGAATACAGAGGAGGAATAGCTGCCATTACCTAACATCAACTTGTTACATCTCAGTCTCCAATTCTACAACATCATCAGTGTCAGAGGCAGGCATTATATGAAGTTCTAAGCAACTCGTTATTAATTGTGTTGCCTGAACTTACGTATTTCAGAAGTGCCTTATGCTGCAAATGCCGTGTTGCTCAGTTTTTTATTCCTTTATAAACATACTTCTCCCGTTTAGTTCAACTTTTGAAATGCTATTTGGGAGAATGCAAATACCTTTACGTTAAAGCCCCTTGGGGAAATGCAAGTAGCGTTTGGTAAAAAATCATTTGTAAAGCTACTTTGGACCAAATAGTGTTTAGTAAATATTTTTTTGAAAAATGGCTTTGAGAATTATCTTTTTTATTTTAAAAAAAAAACCTACCCTACCCTTCGTCAGAGCCGGGGACGGCCTACGGTTGCCAGCGAGCTAGATCTGGCGCCGGCGACCATTGCCCGAGGTTGGGCGACCCCCGGCGAGCCAGATCTGCCGCCGGCAGCTGTCGCCCGACGCCAGGCGACCCTCAGCGAGGTCGCTTGACCCAAGCGGCCGACGCCTGGGTCACTCGTCCTCAGGTGGCCATCGCCTGGGTCGTGTGACCTCGCCGGCCTCTCGCAGGCTCGATCCGGTGTTGGCCGCCCTCACCGGCCTCCCTCACCGGTTGCCTCACGAAGAAGATGAACAGTAACAAGAGGGGCAAAACCGGAATAAGCTAAAATAAGTGAGGGTAGTTTGGAGACAAAAAATTTGGGTTCAGCATTTGTGGAATGCCGAAAGCCCAAAGCTGGTCTGGACTAGCTTTGGGTTTTCGACGTTCCAAATGCTAGCATTTGGCCAATACTAGGCCGAAAGCTGAACCAAACGGTTCAACATTTTGGGAATGGGCTTTCGAGGCTGAAAGCCCCTTCCCAAAGCTGAACCAAACGGGCCCATAATCAAATAAAGCAGCATTCCAGAAAAGTGGCGAGAAACTCATGTCTTTGGATTAGCTGAATTCAATTATCCCACAACTATTTCAGGTTCCCCTATTGAGTAGCCAAGCAAAAACATAGAGACTTTAATTAAGACTTTTTGTTGGACATACTAGAAGTGAGAGTGCTCCGAAGATCAACATCCAAACGTAGTCAGCTGTCCTCTTGTCAAATGGACCTCTCTCTAGTGAAACTCCATATTTTGCTCTGCATGCCATTTAACAGTCAATTGAACATGCCATGAGATATAACTTCCTAAGCTAAAGGCTCAGTGAGAAAATCATGACAGTACTTCGAGACCCCGTCTAATTGATACGCCTACTTTTTTTTCATTTTTTTAGCTGCCAAAAACTAGAAGCAAAAGATCTGCATTTTTACAAAGTGCTCTATTGGAGATGAATGAGCAGTAGCTCTACTCACATTATAATAAGCCGAAAGGCGAACGGGAACGAGAATGGCCCAAGAAAGAAGAAGTTGGTGATGAGCCTCCAAACCTGCATCCATTGAAGAGCACCGTTTATGATCGAACTGCTGAATACAGACCCAATATCTGGATAATTCAAAACAAACACACAGAATCAAGCGATCAACTCACTTGGAAATGTTTGAGCACAAGTTCATATTGGAGAGCTAAAGTCCAAAACTTGTAAAGGCCCAGATAGTAGGCCGCCGTGGTCATCAGGCATGCTACTCCATAAGTCTTGCTCACTGGCGGCAGCGACCGGTAATATCTGCAACATTTGATGGCCGGAATTTCAGTGACTGCTAATCCTATGGACAATCCTACTGAACTATTATCTGCGTACACTAGTCATAAAACTGTGACATAACATCGGAAGCTAGCAGACAGTGAGATAAAAAGACACAGAGCTTACTCTCCTGGAGTAGACATTGGTGAATCGAAGCGATCAATGGAAGTGACCGCGGGAGCAATTGAAGATTGGAAGTGTAATAGCTTAAGAAAGATGGATTTCTTTTAGATTGATTGATGCCATGGAAAACTCCAAAGGAGAAGACTTTGGGCCGTCCATTCCAAGACAAAGACTTCAGGCAAAGACCAAGTCTTCCAATTACAGTTCAATCGCCTTAATTGGATCGCCAGCCGGACTGGAGCATCCGCCACGCTCATCTCGAAATTAGATTTCATTTTCCAAGTCAAACTTCAGGCTTTGTATGAAATTCACTGGTCCAACTTCATTTTTGACCTATCAACAAGATAAACACAAACCAAAACAAGATAAACACATCCCCACAATGATTAAAAAAAGGAAAAACCACAAAAACCCAACTTTCACAACACATTTACTTACTGAACTTTTTTGTACACCAAAACCCCAAACTTTGTTATTTGTGACATTTACCTCGATATACATTGTCCACGGGCATTTTCGTCTTTTAGCTTTTTCTTTTTCTTTTTACTTTTTTCTTTCCGGCGAGGGGCCCTCGCCGCCTGCGGCGAGCCGCCCTCGTCGATCCGGCGAGGCCGCCCGCCGGCGTCCGGGCGGGGAGGGCGAGGCTCGCCGGCGTCGGGCGAGGCTCGCCCGGCCCGGGCGAGGAGGGCGAGGCTCGCCCGACGCCGGCGAGGCTCGCCCTCGCCCGGGCGAGCGAGGGCGAGGGAGGGCGAGGCTCACCCGACGCCGGCGAGCCTCGCCCTCGCCTGGCGAGCGAGGGCGAGGCTCGCCCGACGCCGGCGAGGCTCGCCCTCGCTCGCCCAGGCGAGGCGAGCCTCGCGGCGTCGGCGGCGGCTCGCCGCCCGGGCGAGCCTCGCCGACGCCGGCGAGGCGGCCCTCGCCCGACGCCGGCCCGCGCCCGACGCCGGCGAGGGGCCCTTGCCGGAAAGAAAAAAAAGTAAAAAGAAAAAGCTAAAAAGACGAAAATGCCCATGGACAATGTATATCGGGTAAATGTGTCACAAATAACAAAGTTTGGGGTTTTTGGTGTCACAAAAAAAGTTCGGGATAAATGTGTCACAAGTGGGAAAGTTTGGGGTTTTTGGTGATTTTTTCCCAAAAAAAAAAAGGCCATCAAGGTTCCCCCGCTAAAGTATTAAAATCGATTCGTGTTTTGCTGGTGCCGCCCCTGAATGTTGAGCTATTTCTTGAATTTCAGAAGTAACCTTTTTGTTTTTGTGCTGACTATTCTCACAAGATGTCCAAATTGGACAGGTGCTGGGAAAGTCGAATTGGATAACTATGAACTTTGACCCAATAATAAATGTAGTCCTGAACTTTTAATTTGTTCAATATGACCCCTAAACTTTAGTCCAATGTGCAATATGGTCCATGAACTTTTAATTTATTTAATGTGATCCTGAATTTTTGGTACATGTACAATTTAATTTCTAGACTATATTAAAATTTTCAATTTTGTCCTTATACTTGAATTAATGGAATGACCACATTAAACAATTTCATAGAGTTCACAGACTACATTGTACATGTACCTAAAGTTCAGAAATCACATTAAACAAATTAAAAGTTTAGAAATAATCTTGCATATTAAGCCAAAGATCAAGGACCATTTGTGTTATCATCCCTAAAATATAACGAAGGACAAAGAATGGATACACCTTAGCACCACTAGGTGGATAATTAGTTTCATACAATATGTTCAACTCATGCTTCAGGCAAATATTCTCCAACTTTTCGTGGATGTCTTTTGAAAGTGTCGCCGCTTGTTCGGATAGGGATTTATTAGAGATTAACTCCCGCACGGTAGAGTAATGGTTCGTGCAGAATTCATCTCTGTGGATCTACACTCACATGACTTTACATTATATATAACATAGGCAAGGAATCACATGCATCATACTGAGCTTCTATACAGTGAAATAATCAATGTGAGATATCTACCAAAGTTATTGAGTTTCTCCACTGTAAATGCTCATATTACACGCTTGTCAACGCCAAATGGAACCTTGGGAAGGAAGGGAACATGCAAGGACAGTGCAACTTCCTCGGGCATTTATGAGCCAAGCCAGGCCATGGACGCTCTAATACCAGTGTGATACTGGTTTTTGGTTTACATTAATCAGCAAGGACAATCTCACATGGAAGCATATTCAGGCTTTCACTTAGTGAACATGCTCACAGTGGAAGGTCGAACAGTGAAAATCTCCACCTCATCCATTTCCACACTTCTCACTGAGTACTGAAATGTCCATCCATGGCAAGCACCAGCATGCTCGCCTTCTTTATTGACAGCAAAAACAGCTCCCACAAAATCTGGATACTTCTGAGCGATTCGCAGGATAGCATTCTCAGCTGCAAGTTTTGGTTCCATGCCTTGTCTCATACTCTCAACAACTTGATAGCTGCAATCACAGAAACAACATGCGACTCTCACAAAGGGTCTCACTCCATCAGAACATCTCACTATCCTAGTTTGCCTGCTGAAGCTGAGCCATACAGGGACTATATCAGTCAACAGAATCTTAGCCTGAGGGATTGAGTTCCTCATTTAATCTCATTCTTTTTATCACAATTCCTTCTTTAATCTCAGTAACAACCCTTCAGGAAACTAAATTCAGAAGTATCTTTAGATAGTTCAAAAGTAAAAGCAAAAATAAAAGATCTCATATTCCTACTTCTCTCTACCATCGTATGTGGTAGCTCAAAAGCTTTATCACCAACTAGTAGTCTACAGTTCTACACTCTACACCACAATCAATTGTAGTGCACATCTCTTGTGCGTTTATGTTCCTAGCCAAAATGCTGCTCACCTAGCCCCAAATTCTGTCATCCACTATTCATATGTGGTTATGTTCCTGATACCCAAAGCTGCTCATCTAAAACTGCACTCTCCCAATTAATTGAAGCTAATACAACCACATTTTACACTAGACAAGGCAAGTTTTAATTTCGTGCAAGACATTCTTACAATTATCAATTGTGTAAGACCAATTTAAGCATTTAAAATCATAATAATTACGTGGATAAGAATCATATTAGTTCCTTTTTTTTTCCTAGCCCAGTTCACACTAGTTTGCTTTTGTTGGAAAAAATGTAAATAGGAGCTACCTCAGAAACTAGTTCTGTAATTTGGAAAATGAACAAATTGTTCAGTAGAATATTTAGAGTAATTATCCTTTGATGGTAATTTAAGTCTAACTCCAAAAGAAATGTGATAGAATACATGGTTTACCAGTCTTGGTACATGCTCCCCAACTCAAGTCATTCTATGTAACAATAAGTAACTACTAATTTTAGATATAAAAGAGAACTGGTTTGAGAAACTACCACGGCAGGAAACGCATCATGACATCACCGTCCCCAGTAGCCCCACAAGCCCCAACATCATTGTCGGCATATGCTGAAGATCCAGCAATTGGTCCGTCGCCAACCCTACATTTTTGCAGAAACTTTTTTACCAATCCCAAAGATGCAAACCCTTAACATAACCACAAGATGGACACACAAAATTTTGTCAAACTTCAACTCTGAAAACTCCCCTTAAAGCTCCAATTTATTTATCAAAACTCCATATTCAGCCAAAAGCTGACCAGAAAGACCTTTTAAAGGTCTTTGATAAGGAGTACTTTCTATAGTCAATGAATAAAATAATTTGATAGTCATTCGGAAATAAATTGCCCTGAAAAATACTTTCTATAGTCGATGAATAAAATAATTCAATAGTCATTCAGAAATAAATTGTTCCGAACAATTAGATAGTCTTTTTAGCTGGTTTTGTACAATCAGTCGAAAATTTGATATTCTTAACTATGACAGCCACAAGAGAGAATGTGATCTAAAAGATTAACGCCAAAGAAGAGAATATTCATATCTTGATCACATATACAAACAAGTAACATTTCAGCAATCAGAACCTTATTCATGCCAGTTTCTTTCCTCGACTGACCATACAAGACTCGCTGATCTAACAAAGTGATAACCAAAAAACGTCAGCTAGATACTTTTGGCACAGTTCAACAAGCCAATCACAGGTAAAACCTTTAGAACATATTACCTTCCAGGGATTTTGAATGTGGCGCCATTAGTTGATGTGCCCACCGCAAGGAACCCCATCTGCAGTTGCACAAGATAATGAAGTTGATTAGAGACAACAAGAACATACCAAGGCACTCAAAATCACCAAACAGAAGTCTTTACAACAATCTCCTACTTTATCTATTACAGCCATGGCTATGGTATCATGGCTATGAAGTCCAACTCGGGATGGACTTGACTCAATGGTTCCCACGGGGTTAGCTTGCGCACATGTATTTGCAGTGTCCTTAGGATGATAGGGGCCACAACTGTCAACAGACAAAACATTTTTCCGAAAATTAGGTTGGCAAAGACTTTCTTTCCATTTTGTCCACTTATTAATAGACTCCGGCGAACTCAAGTTCGTTGGTCCAGGAAGACCCATTGAAATGGCAAAGGCTGAGGCTGGCTCTCCAACAAGCAAAGTATGTAGGGTATGTTGCATCACCAATCTAGCAGCTTTGATGCCATCTTTTACATACTTCATTGCAGCAACAGCTCCAACCTCCATCGTTACCTAGGCATATCCTTGGCAAGAATAGAAAAGAAAAGGAATGATGAGAAACCACTCAAATTTATCCTAAGCAACAACTGCCAAAGAGCTCCAAATATTATAGGGAGAAACCAAAACGGTAGGTACCCCATCCATGACAAGGGCGTCTATTGTAGTCTCCCCATTCTCATCAGGGCTTCCACCTGGTCCCACTGCACAAAAGGCACAATGGTTAGTTAGAGAGAACATTGACGGACTCCCAAGCACTAAGTTGATTCTCAGAGAAAGAAACATTTGAGGTCATTTTGGAATATCACAGAAATACACTATTATGATGAGATTTCGAAACGAATTTCTTTCGCTTTCCCATACATTTTCAGAGTCATACTTAAGATCAATGAATCCATGTGACCCAACTTTTTCTTTTCACTTTAAGTACACGGCTAGAGATTTTAAGTTAAGTTATTATACAGAGATCATATTTAACTTGCTTCATGAATAGTAAAAGAAGATTCCATAAAATTGTACGAGAATTTGTTACAAAGAAATCTTTTGGAGCAGATAATTACCATACCAATATTTTCACTTAGCACATTTTCAGCAGCTTATCAGCATTCAATCCTCGGATAAATAACTCCACCTCTCTTCTTTTAATTGCTACTTGAGCAGGCTAGATCCCCAAACATAACAGGGAAAGCTCTGCTACCTCTAAAACTCCTAGACCAGACCTTCACCAAACAAAAATGCCCTTAAATGTTATAAATAAGCAATCAATCTCGTATTTCCCCCATTCAATCTCAAATAACTCAAATACTCAGTCAAATAAAACTACAAGGAAACATCAAAAGAATAGATGCTCTCATGATGCCATACACAAGTACCTGTACCATCACACCGCAACTCCTCGCAGGCCGAGCAACCCTCCACGACTGCGTCCACTGCCGATAAACCATTGTCGACAGCTGTCCAAGCAGCTCTCACGGCCTCCACGAAAGGCCATGTGCTCACAACCAAGGGATACTTCCCCGAATCCCCCACCCGGTTTCCACACACCTGCGAAATTTTTGATCCAATACTAAATGAAGTCAACCAAATTCCTGCCTTTTCATAAAAGAACAGCAGAAATGGCCGTGCCCAATACAGGATCAACCTAGAAGCGTATTCCCCGAATCGAGAACAATGTCAACGGACGGAGCCCCAATTGGTTGACCAAGAAGAGCAACAGTGGACTAAACTGGTATCAAAATCTACAACGCAGATCGCATGTAATGCCATGGTGCGAATTCAAGAATAGCGCGAGTAGTTGAGGTTCATTTACCTCAGAGAGAAGCAAAGCGACGAAGAAGAAGAAGCGGTGCAAGTATGACGAAGCCATTGGAGAAGAAGAACGGTGATGATCCGTGTGAGCTTCACGAGTTGCAGGCGATGCAGCAAATGGCTTTTGACATCTTCATAGTCCATTTCCATCGCCTGTCGGGCCCAAGGCCCAACTTCCGAGGCCCGTATTTTCTCGTATTTGGGTTATTTGACTTTTATAATTGAAAATTTTTCAGAATCAAGGCTCCATTTGTTTTGCAAAAAATAAATTATTAGGAAATTTTTTTTTACCTAAAAACGATACAAAATAAATAAAACAACAATATTCTCATTATCCTTGAAAAAATTTAGACATAAATAGTTATCGGTCCGTTGACTAATTATTTGAAACGATGCAAGCGATCGTTTTCAGGAAAATAATTTTCAAATTGTTCATCTTTCGCGAAACAAACATGACCTAGCTGATGATAATTTAATCATATATGCATTAGCATACTGTAATTGCATAGTGACCTAAATTGAAAATACCATAATAGCTACAGTTTTAATAAACTTGCCATCAACGGAAAGATAGACATATGCATGTCGTTTATTGGCGTGTAGATGTGAAATAGATTAATCATCATTTTATTGTCACCAGTAACACACTACCCAGAGAAAAAGTTAATTGGGCGAAAGCTATACCATTTGTTTGTTTATATCTAAGCAACAAAAAAGTACCGCATTGGCATAATTTGTCCAACCCAATACTCATTATTTTTGTATGAAATTCAGCAAATAAGGAAATCATGAATTACCTAGCTCGTTCAAATTAGGAATTCATTCGTTCTTTAATGTTGAAACCTCCATCTCATTTCATCTTTGTTTTTGTATTGCGAGAAAGCACACCCAGAAGATAACACGTTACAAATTCCTGAAACGGCATAAGGAATCCAAATTAGGAATTCTTTATGCTTCCATCAGTGCTAAACTGATTCTTTTGGGTCCTTCATGACTTGTTTCTGGCAGTTTCTTGTTTTGCTTGGCAGTGATCAGCAAGGGCAGTGTTGCCGAGCATGACTGCGGAATGCTTAAGTTGACATCGAGTTGGATGTTCCTGCTCTCGAATGAATTTGTACTGGGAGCTAAAAATTCTGTCCACCATGTCTCGCGCAACCAACGGCGTGAGTTTCGGGCGTTTATCGATCAACGCCACCTCCAGACCACCGTGAGAATGGCGATCAACGACGAAGGACGCCACGGCGTTTGTGGTGGAGAACGGCAAAGTGTCTCAATCAACATCAACACCATTCACGATTTGATCATCTTGTTCCTCGACAAGTGTAATGTCCGACATCGATAGTGGCCCGGAATGAGAAGGGGGCGGTGGTTGCGTGTTTTCAACGGGTTAGGATATGTTTAAGCAAAGGTGTTTTTTCTAAGATCATTAATAAATAATACATAAAGATCGACTGAGGCTAAATCCATCCCTCAATGGGGCTTCATCAATGAAAATTTTTTAGAATTACTCAGAATACATTGGCCAATAAACACAGAATATAAGCAAAGGTAGTGTAAAAAAATGTAAATTATATAATTATCTTAGTATTCCACTCCAAATTTGTTTTTTTCAAGTGTTTGATGATTATAAACAACTAATATAGTGAATACCTAACTAATCAAATTGAAACGATTTTTATATTGAAATTAATTAATGTATCAAAAATCAACATCAACAAATCATTGCCCGTAGTAAAATTCGCATTTGCATTCACTTGGAAAAGTGAAACCAATTGATTAAGAATTCGAATTTGAATTGGCAACGGGGAGGTAGCCGTTGGGATGAATTTACTTTTTCAATCTCGTGTCTCTCTTTCTCAACGGCTACAAGAAAACAGAGACTCCACTCACGTCAGAGATCATCTCTCTCCCTTCATCCTCTCTTCTGCTTCGTCTGCGTTTCCTTTCTTTGTTCTTTGTCTACTCATTCCCTTTTTCTCTCTCGACGGGGTTGCAGTCGAGCCAGCGGTGCCTGATTTGGCTCGATCGAAGAGGAGCGGAACCAGATGTGGTTACCTGTGCGGCGCATCATCGTTGACGATACAGAGAGAGACAGAGAAAGACAACAATGGTCACGGCATGGCAACTGGGTTGCGTGCGGCAGCGGCGGAGGTGAGGCTGAGCAACGGCGTGTCGGTGACGGATTCTAGGGGGTTTGCTGGATGGAGTTCGAGGCGGGCTCTTCGATTCTTCGCAGGGGTTCATCCTGTGAGTCTCTGGAAACTCCATCGCTGATGCTTCTTGTTTTCCTTGTTGATGACGCATTATTGAATTTGCCTGTTGCTAGTGGTTGTTGATTGTCTTGTTCTTTGCTCTGTTGGGGGTTCTGCAGTCGTGATCTTTTCGTGAGTTTCTCGATTCTTTTGGGGCTCGTGTGAATGGGTCTTGTTGCATTGCATGACGATGATGCTGTGGGGTTGTGGCAGATTATCATCTGAAAGAAAACTAGCGCAAGAACTTAGAAGATCTAGATTCTCATTCTCGCAAATTAACTCTCTGCCAGTAAAGTTTCACATGCTTTTCGATTATCACACGATATTTTGGGGAAGTACCTTATCTTATGTTCACACATTCTCAAGTCCAACCTTGTCATCGTCTTGCTAAAAAATCTTTCGACTCTGCTATTCTTTACCAATTTTCTTGCCCAAAACACAACTGCTTTTGGCAAATGATCATTTTGAACCATCTGCTACTCGGCTTTTCTATATATTTCTGGTTCAATGATTGTCTTTTGTAGCTCTAGAATTAGTCTTTGAAAATGGGTTCTAACAAGCCTCTCAATAATTTCGCTTTGAGAATGTTAGAGGTTCTTTTTTCAATACAATTTTATCAACTAAACTGAAACTATTTGAGTCCTCTATATGTAGAAGTTGCGCTACTTTTCTAAGATTTATTTTCTTCGCCATCTTTCTGACTCTCTCCTTAATTCGTCTGTGTTATTTTTCCCAAAATCTTAGAAAAGACATGATATTTCAAAAATGATACTTTAATGTGGGCACCAAAATATCCCTTTTGTGGTCCAAAGAGGCAATGTCCTAAAAGTCGAAGAGACTCATTATTTTTGCAAAAATTGCCATTTTTTAAGGTCATATTTTACATGAGTCTTCTTCCAAAATAACACTTCCTAAATGACAACAACTTTACACGTTTTGAAGCATAATGGTTTTTTTTCGCACATTCTTTTTCATGTCAATTGAATGTGATGCTATTTGTTTGAAACAACATTTTCTACTGAAAGGCTTCTTTCTACCAAGATTTTTCGCACCGAAGTTTTTCATGTAGTCCTTAGTGGTCTTCTTCCAAAATAGCACTTCCCAAATGTCAACAACTTTACACGTTTCGAACCATAATGGTTTTTTTTCGCACATTCTTTTTCATGTCGATTGAATAGTATGTGATGCTATTTCTTGAAACAACATTTTCCACTGAAGGGCTTCTTTCTACCAAGATTTTCACACCGAAGATTTTTCATGTAGTCCTTAGTGCGCAGGACTTTGTTTTGATATAAAAATGTGGTATTTTGTTCAAAAGCCAAATTTTTATAAATCTCTTTCAAGTAATCTTGCCATATTTGTTATGTTTCTCAATAAATGGTTGAAGATCTCGGTGACAAGACTCGCTATCTTTTTGAAGTTACCGTTTTTCTTTCAAAGGTCATATTTACTAGACATGGCCACGGGCCGGTTTCGGCCTGGGTCAAACCCGGGACCAGCCCATTGACCGGCCCGCAGTTCGGAAGCAGAACCGGCCCATGGCCTACGGGCCCGGTTCCAAAAAAAAAAAAATTGCAGCAGGGCCTGCACGTCTGTAGGCCCTGCTGCAGCCTGCAGGCCCAAGGCCAAGTGGCCAACGTCTAATTTAGCCATTTATTATTATTTTTCCCTAAATTTCCTTCTCATTTTTTTCTTATAAATTCTCTCAAATTTTCTCAATACTCTCAAATTCTCTCAATTTTCTCAATCCGAATTCTCTCAATTTTTTCAATCCACACAATTCTCTCTTAATTCTCCTAATCAATTTGCTCAATTCTCTCAATCCACTCGAAAAATGGCAAGTGAAAATCAAGCGGCAATTGGCAAAGGTAAGAATAGAATGACGGAATCCGAATATTCTTTTGATCCTCGTGATTATACAAATTTTCAAGATGATGAAATCAATATTTTTCCCGATGTGGAGCGCGTCCCAACACAAGAAAGTCTTCATGCCGAAAACTCAACAACAAAGGAGGCGGAGCGGGATTGGTCCAAAAAGGTATGATATAATTTGTAAATATTGTGGAGCAATATATAAATATACAGGTGAACAAGGATATGGAACATTCAAACGACATCTTATGAGCAAACATCCAACCGAAGCGGAAATCGATACCAAGCAACAATAGATTTTCGAGTACGTCAATCCTAACACTTCTCATTTATTTCGTTTTAATGAAAAAACTTATAAGGTAAATTTGTTTCCGTTGAGCATTTATCATTTAATTTTGGAGAAAGATTTGGTTTTAATCAATTTGTACAAAAAGCTAAATACACTTAAACGAGTAATTAAATATCTTTACAAAAATGAAAAAAAAGATTTACAAAACTTTTTTATGCAATTTAATGGATGTGTGCATATAGGTAGTGATATTTGGAGTGATCATTGGCAAATTCATTTTTACATGGGCATAACATGTCATTGGATAGATGACAATTGGAATATTCAAAAAAGAGTCGTCGCATTTAGAGTTTTCGATTGTAAGCATACGGCAAATAATATTTATACAATAATTAGGTAAATTTTAGAAGAACATTGTTTACTTAAGAAAATTTTTTCAATTGGTTTTGATAATACCATGGCAAATATCGCTTCAATTGCCGATTTAGAAAATATTTGTAGACCCGCTTTTGGCGGAAAATTTTTTCACGTTAGATGTGCTTGTCATGTTTTAAATTTATGTGTACAAGATGGTTTGAAAACTCTTAATATTTTTCTTGAACCAATAAAAATAGCGATTCAATTTTTATGGAAATATCCCAAAAAATGAAAGAATGGAGTAGATTTTGTAAAGCAAATGGAAAAAGGCCAAGAAGATTTCCAAGAGA